TATGTAAAACGATAACCATTGATAATTTCCTACCATTTTGTCTGTAATTTGCTAAGTCCCCCCTATTATTATGTTATCCTTCTTTTATTCTTTAAAATAAAAAAAATAATAATAAAATAAAATAAAAAGACTGAAGAAAGCATTCTTGAGCTCAAATTACAGCATTTTAGACACTGGGTTCATTTATAAAGACCGGGGTCTCTATGCTGTATTTCCTTACAAATAAAACTTACTAGGGGAATTTAAGAATAAGAGCCTCACTCAAAAGCCGGCCAAAGGAAGCCACCACTCCCACGTCGTATTCTCCAGAGCCCACGTCCGGCCACTCGTACACCGGAAGCTGGGACTGCACAGCGTACTGCTTCACCGGCAGGCCTTTGGGAGACGGCGAGGGCACCGTGACCACCTCCAGTTTCTCAATTAGCTTTTCCTCTTTGTTCTCCCTAAGTTAGAGAGATTGGAAGAAAAAATGTGTCAGCGTCAGGGCATTTTTATAGCTTGAACTTGTGAAGGATCTAGGGCTAAACGATTAAAACCAGTGCAACTGACAGACTGGGTTTTTATATTTTTACTTAACCCCCCTCCCCCATCCCCCAGTAGCGCTGGGGTTTGAACCCAGGGCCTCCTGAATGCTAAGAAAGCGCTCTACCAATGAACGACACCTTTAGCGCCTTTTTATTTTGTGACTGGGTCTCACTAAATTGTTCACTAACTAACCCTCCTGCCTCAACCTCTTAAATCGCTGGGATTTCATCTGTGTGCCACCAAACCAGGCTTTATCTAAGTATTTTAAATTTAAAGTACTACATATGGCTAACGGTTACTATTCGGACAGCATCTTTTCAGAGATTTCCTGGACATACAAAAACATATACAGTAGTTATTATACACAACTGGGATGTTATACGTATGCTTCTGCATATGTTTTGGTTATTTCCTCTTTTTTGGGGGGGCTACTAGGAATCGAACTCAGGACACCTTGGGCTTGCCAGGCAGGTGCTGTGCCACTGAGCTATATCCCTGGTCCTTGGTTATTTCCTCTTAATAATGGTATATATGCTCTGATAGGAATCTTTTTAACATGTGCTAAATATCCATATGCCTTGAACAGTTCTAGAAGAATAAGAAACTGAAATCAATGACTATCTCTGAGAGAACTGGGAAATGGAAGCCAGAGATGGAAGAAAACAACTCTTCACTGTTTATCCTTTGAATCACAACCTTGTATCAGTCAAGTAACACTGACTTGCTTGGTTTTCTGCAGTAATGGGAATTGAATCCCGGGCCTCCAGCATGCCAGGCAAACTCTCTACCACTTAGCACACCGCTGGCCCCCAAACACTTTTCAAAAAACAAAGGTACATACCATAGGCATCATTCTATGGCACCACTTTAAGCACACCTCATTCTTTTCACCTGCTGTATAGTATTCCAGTGTCCAGAGGCTGTACATTCATGCATTCATTCATTGTGCTGGAGATCAAGCCCAGGGCAGTCTCTCACTCTGACACTGAGCTACAGCCTGGCATACAGGGGCTGTATGTTTATTTAGTAAATGGGTACTGCATGCACATGCTGAAGACTTAAGCTAAAAGAATTATGCATCAAAAGCCGGGGGTGGCAGTGCACGCCTGTAATCCCAGCACTAGGGAGGCTGAGGCAGGAGGATCCTTGGGAGTTCCAGACCAGCCTGGGCTACAAAGTGAGCTCAAGGCCAGCCTGAACTACATAGCAAGACCCTGTCTCAAAAAGATGAAAAAAAAAAAAATTATGCACCAGGGCACGCAAAAAAAGTTATGGTTAGTGGTGCTGCCGAGTAAATCATCAGAAGTAAGGAACGCATGTGGCCATACGGGAAACAGCCAGGTGCAGAGGGAACGCACCGGGCACTTAGTATAAGGGTGTTTCAAGGACTGTGGACACAGGAGTGTGGGGAGGAGGAACACAACAAACAAAAGCACTGATGAGGGACTCCATACGTAATGGAGATCATTTCTGGTGACAGAAGTGATCTGGGGGGAAATCAAAACACATCATGTACGGGTACCAATTCCCTAGGAGGAACATGATCATTATGTGTATCTAAAATGTATCAATAAACTTATTTAATAAAAAAATGAATTGGGGCAGAGGAGTCAGAAAAACGGAATGGGGGGGAAAAAAAATTCGGCAGAGGGGGGGAGGCAGACAGAGTGGTATGTGCCACCCCATACCACAGACTTCCAGGAAACAAGATTTGTTAAATTTTACAAGTACTAAATATAGTCCTGCGAGTTCTGATTTACACATTTATTCATGTACAAATGGTTCCTTTTGGGACTGTGTTCTCGCTTCCAGCTTAACGAGCCCGGCGTGCCCAGCAGGTCGGGAGCAGAGGAGCGAGCGCGGGTGTTCAGGGGACGCGCACAACCGGGAAGCCCACGCTCAAGGCCCGGGACCCACATGCCAGACGGCGGGGGCGGCGGAGGAGCTGGAAAGGGGACCGCTTTGACGTCGGGGCTGGTTTTAGTCCCAGCCGCTAGCTGATGACCTTGGGCAGCGGCGTGACCTCTGAGCCCGGGTTTCCGCACCTGCAAGCCGGTCCGCAGGTGGGGCGTCTGAACTGGCCGGGGTGGGGCGCAGTCCCGGCGCCCCACGGCCGATCGGAGGGTGCGCGCAGGGACGCCGACCCGGGCCCCAGCTCCCGCCCCGCC